GTTGGATAAACGAGTGAATGAAATAGTCAGTGAATTAGATAATTTCACGTTCCAATGTAATATTTACTGGTACATTGAACACGTTCTTCGGCCGCACATATCGAATTTACATTAATGATAAAATCCACAAACGAGAATAATAATATTAAAATAAAAAACGAGAACATGAAATAAAACATATAATCGAGTCTATTGCAAATTACCAGCTTTCAAAGTGGAACGTAGGCGTCACATTGTCGCTCTAGGCTTCTTGAATCTTATATGTTCAATATAAACACGTGCGTCAAGATTTTTCAATTATATGGATTTTCTTCCACTCTACTTGTTTAAGTTCCTTAAGTATATATAAAAAGATGGGACAAGTTTTGTGATAAAAAAAGCGATACTAAAAGTAGAAGCAATCTCGAATTTATATACATACGCGTGACATTTGTGCTTCGATAACAGTCACTATTATAATGATCATTTCAACTTGTTAAATGATTACTACAACCAATTATCTATTTTAAAATGCTATTGCTTTATTAACTGAACCGCATTATTTGCATAGAAATTGATTCTGTTAATAAAGCAGTTTTGATATAGAATGGCATTTAGATGTATTTAACTGTTGTGAGCTTTTGTTTTAATTAGTTGAAATGATCGTGTTTTGTACACGAAGAAATATATTTAATTTATACAAATGAACATCACTTGTGTAACCGTTAAAGGTTAATTATCGAATTTTAAAATCTGTTTTTTTCTTCAATGTTAATTGATATTGAGAGCGTAATTGATTTTAGGTTCATAGTTAGAAAGCAACTTCTCTATGTCCAATAGTAATATTATATGTACTTCTATTTGTAGAAAATTTTAACTTTAAAAGTATTTTTTATATTTGAATATAAAAAAAATTAGGTAGACTCGATGATTAGTTTAGATGTGGTGTTGAAAAGTGCAAAAGGTCTCACAGAACTAAATTGTAATTTGTATTGGAAGAAAGAAGTTCTGTATTTCTAAGTTTTAAAAAGTAGGTAAAAATAATCGTAAAAAATGATAAAGATTGTCCCAGAATTTATATGTGACTGTTATAACGGTTGCAAAAAATAGTATTGAATGTACTCAACTGTGCTAGAGATCATAAACATTAATGCTAATTACAAATGATAATAAGTTGATTTAAATATGTAAATAACAATTTTGATGTCTAAATAGATAAACAGTATTTTTAAATTAAATAAAAGAAATTATTTTTATAACTTATTTTGAAATGTTTAAATTAATTTTAGATATATACATTCTGTCAGTGTAATTGATTATTTACTGAATAAATATTAAATGTGAAAAAGAAATTCGTGTAACGAGCTCCTCCATTGTATGTGAATATATACAGACACATAAATTTTGTACCCTGTGCAATTATTACGATCACAATTCCCATGCGCAATTTCCCATTTCTACATTTCTCGTTTCATTGTCGACTAATACCTATTTTGCACGTGATGATGCGTAAGTTTACAAGAGCACGTGGCGCTCGCTACTTTCCAGCGCGACCTATATAGAATATAATAATTTTTCCTATAATTTGCTGTGGCCGCTTCACTATACAGCCCTCCCCTGCAGTGAATCTAGGTCCCTTTCTACTATGGTGCATCCCCGAGTCGAAATTTAGAGTTGATTTAAGTCCTACTACGAAGTATTAAGTTCGATTTTGATACTTTTTAGACCTGTTTCATCGACTTAAGACCTACTAGGACCTATTTAGATTGACTTAGGTACTCTTAAGTTTCCTGACTTGAAATTGTATAACTGATTTAGAGCCTACTATGTCCTGTTAACATAGATTTAAGTCCTCTTTGGTACCCTTACATAAAAACGTATGACTGACAGAGCCTATTAAGTTCTTTTTAGATCGAATTAAGTACTTTTTGATACTCTGACCAAAGAAACTGGAAATTTTTTATTTTGGAGAATGCGTGCGCATTCCCTCCATAATGTCTTGGTTCCACACGTGTCCATTTTTAATACTTAGTTTTAAAACTTTTGTGTTTGAAAGAGGACGTGTATAACGAGTAGAAAATTATAAAAAATGACATGATATGCATCAATAAATTTATATAAATCATTAAGTTTAAGCAAGTTTTATTATTTATAAATTTTAAAAAATAATTGTACAACGAAAAACATTGTTTCTGTAGAATCAACAAAACTATTTTGTTCTTACTACAGTTGTAACTGTATTGCTATATGAAAGAAAGAATTTTTTGTTTCATACAAATTCTAATTATTAAGACAGCAAAAAAGTGACAAAAAATCGTCGGCTTGGTGAAAAAACATATCACTGCATAATAGCCTCGAAAAAAACTGTTTCAAAAATTCATTGAAAATCAACTAGAATGTGTCAGGTGAGATTTGGAAAACATTTTACATTTTAGAATTGTTATTTGTCTTTTTTTATTTTAGGTTGCCAGTATTAAAAAACTTACCTTACAAATTTTTACAAAAATAGTTTATTGAGCTTGTAAATGTTAATTAAAATTGTATTTTTTCTTACTATTATTTTTCTTTAAAGAAACAAGACTATTTTAATAATTACATTAATATTTGATAAATTTTTTTTGTAAAATTTATAAGGTAATTCTTTTTAATACTGGCAACGTAAAATAAAAAAGCCAAATATAATTCTGAATTGTATATGCCTTCCAAATCTTATCTAAAATGTTTTGATTTTCAACGGAATTTTGAAACAGAATATTTTTTTCAAGGCTATTATAAAGTGATATGTTTTTTCGCGGAACCAACGACTTTTTTGTCACTTATTTGAGTAGGTCCTAGCAGGTCCTAAAGAAGTTTAAATTAAGACCTCCATAGAACCTACTAACCACCTCCGACTAGTTCTATGCGCAAGCGCATATTGTATTGAGCAGTAGTTAGCAGGCTCTGAAAAGGTCTTAATTAAGACCTCCTTAGAAAATAATAACTGCCTAAAAGTGACATAAGTAGCATCTATGAGGTCTTAAGTCGATCCTAACGCAATGTAAATAAGACCTTCTATAACGTACGTTTTAGCAGGCTCTAAGGCGACTTTAAATTTCGACTCGGGTCATCTCTTCCGCCTCACTTTTCTTACGCCTTATATTCATAGTTATGCAATGAGTTCATCGATCTATGTATACAAAATGAATACGATGTTCTAGCTTATTTTCTTTTACTCTTTGTTTGTTTGCTCTTTTTGGATTTTAGATACTTTTTTTATGTATTCCTTTATTCGCAAGACGATGAAATTGTCCTCAGTCGACGTCCTTGCACTTGAAAATATATACACATATATAAGAGAAGGGAGAACAGGAAGCTCTCTTGGCACGTCGTGACCGAGTTTGAAGTTCGTGGTCATGGCATTCAAATCAGATGGTGAAAAACGTGCTTACGATTTATTGTTACTTTTCGAAGTAGATTTGCCAGAGAACGAGAACATTAATTTTACCTGAAACGAGCTCACTTTCGCCACGTGAAGTGATTTGTTATATCAGGTTTAACGTTTATTCAAAATGCATTAAACTTTTTGGTTCTTTATATATATACTTCATGGAATCATTCTTCGAGAATAAATTACTCCTAAAGGTCATAAACTCAATAAACACAACAATAATAAGTAAAATTTTTGTTAAAATACTGTTTATCAGAAACTTCAATAACTTTTATAAAAAATCTCATCTTGTAGAAAAAGCGGCTATTGAAAAGATTCTCCTTAAAGTAATAATAAATATTTCCCCCGCCTCTAATCTTGACAATAATCTCCGAATGAAATTATTATTATGACAAATTGACTTATAATAAATCTTGTCTCGCAATTTATGAGAGAAAAAAAACAATCTCAGTCCGCCCTAAAATTATAACTCTGATTATCATTTTATTAATATCTGTATTTAATGGAAACGAATTGTAAGGATAAAACTGCATTATCAAGAAGGTTCAATTAATTTCTTTCCAACGAAGAAGCTGAACTGTACAATACACATTGGGTTCCAAGTCAGAAGGCGGAACATCCCGCCTTAACTAATCTCAAGAGCGTGAAAATCATTTATCAAGTTAATAAGTAAACGGTCCATTTTGCACGGAAATTCATTTGTAAAAATAATTTTTTTTAATGATTGAAGTGTTTTTTTTTATTTTATACACTTGCTAAATATATGGAATTTAATTTTATAGTTTTGACATTATTTATGTTTACAGAAAAGGAATCAAGAGGGAAAGAAGAAGAAGAAAAGTGAAAGTAAAAAAAAGGTTTTTTAATAAAAAATCTGAGCTATACAGAATTTACAAAGTATTTGGACTACTTCAAAATGGATCTTGAAGTTCAAATTATTTATGTCCAAATATTAATTTTCGCTTTTGATCCGAAAAACTTAATTGCAACTTTTAATTCAAACCACGTTAATTTTAGTAAAATGGGTCCTCAAATTTATTTTCTCTTCTTTCAATTTTATTATATATAGAAGAAAAGTGAAAATGAAAAAAGGTTATTTAATAAAAAATCTGAGCTATACATAATTTAAATTAATTTCGACTACTTCAAAATAGATCTTGAAGTTCAAATTATTTATGTCCAAATATTAACTTTCGTTTTTATCCGTATAATTTTTATTCAAATCTCGTCAATGGTTCAAATGGTTCCTCAAATTTATTTTCTTAAATTTCCACTTTACTATATATAGAGTATGTAAATGCATGTTTTTCCAATAATTTTATTTAAAACGATAAAAGTGTTGTAATTCTGAAAATCATTTTTCTTCACCCATGTAAAATTATCCCTGTAATGTCAGTTTCTTTTTATAATCGGGAGAATTTCACAAAAGAAGGTGATCGGTGCTTAAGATCGACTTGTATGTAAGAGGATCGTGACAACCTTATTTCAAGGGAGATGTAGCTGAAAGGCATCGTGTATATAAAACCCAAGTAACTCAAAAAAAATAAAAAAAAATTGTTGTATAAGTAGTAAACTTTCTTGGAAGTGTACTTACCTCGCTAGCGCTGGTGTAATTGGTGGTCAGTTTGATTTGCGGTCGAATTTTTCCGGGTGATTCACGGGTTTCTTTCGCGGAAGTAGGTGGCGTGACGGTTGCTTCCTTAACGGAGATGATTGGTTTTTTCGTGGCCATAGTTGCACTCATCGTTGATGCCGAACTTTTTACTCTTGCTTCAGTTGAAACATTGCTCATAATGGCTGTTGTGGTTGACGTTCCCGTATTAGTTGATATTGGCGTTGTTTGTTTCGCCCTCACTGGAACTCGACTCGTCGATTGTGACGGTGGCAATGCATAACATCCACATATCGTTAATAATAATAATAATCCTATCAGTCGATTAAGTTTCATCATGATTTGTAAATTATTTTTCTCGTTCTCGTTACTTTTCTAGTTTCTCACCATCGATTTTCTGTAACAAAAAAGAAATTCAATTTACATAACGTATAACGAAAGTTTGTTATATCATTTTTCGTTTCTCTTTGACATTTTTTTTTCAATTTCAGAGATGTTTTTGTTACTGTTTTTTTTTTTGGAAAGGAATGATAATTCGGAGGGCTTTCTAAACCGCAAGAGCATTATAAGTCGTTTTAAAATTAATGTTCCCTCTTGGTATGTCCTTGGATGATTGCAACTTGAAAGAAAATGACAAAAAAACTCTCTTTACGTGTATATATATATATATAGTTTTTCAACCGGCTCATGTCCGGTTTGTTTCAGAGCAAAAGGATACATAGGAACATCATCATATAATAGATACCCTTGAGTGAGTGAATTTGTCTCAAAAAAGCGAAGGAACGTTACTTCTAAAGGTATAATTACATAAAATCCCTTGTAAAATAAACTGTGTGGTCTTATAACTAATGAACGTTAGGAAAGTCAGAATCATCAGGTACATCAATAATTTTTCGCTAATGATGGAAATTCCTTGTCTATATTCCATACTTCCTTCATTAACGCGCACTCAATTGAGAAAAGTTATATCTGACTTTCTTTTTCTTTACTCATAAATCACGACAATCATTGTTTAGGATACATAAATATCATTTCGAGATTAACGTGGCAGGTGTTCCCGCGCTATTCTTATTTATTGTTTGCAAAATGATGGAGTACTCCTCTTAGTTTTAGTTTGAAAGAATCCAGGAAGATGCGCCATTTCTTAATATGTCTTTAAATATAAAGTAATTATTTGATGACTTAAAAATACATTTGTACACACCTTTAAAATATAATAGAGTTTCAATTATTGATGAGTAAACCTTAGTTACCGTTTAACACACTGGAAAACAATTTTCTCGGTTTTGATAATTTATAAATATTAAAAAAAGTAGAACAATGTTTTTTTTATTAATTTATGAAGTCAAAGAAGTTTTGAATATAATTTTTTAAAATTGCAAAATCAGGTCATAATCGGGGAAAATTTTACGGTTTTTTTGTTAGAATAATAATATATATATATACAAAATTTGACCCAATTGATATGTTGAAAAATTCAAGTAGACATTTCTAACAGTGCATAATCTGATGGTTCGATGCACTTGTATTAAACCGTTGTATTGCATCATCGTATGCATGATAATTTTATACCACGTGACCTTATTTGATGATTTTTATTCGCGCCTATACCACTTTTATATACTTTGGAGTAGATGCTCTACTTTGCTTCTCTCTCTCTCTCTCCTTTTACGCCTGTCTCTCTTGCTCTTTTTGACGGTATGTCATGACTGTAGGCACGCGCGATGCATGGCAAAAACGCATATTATTAGAGCACCAATCTCAAAGCACCGTTAAATTTATCGATTCGTTTCAAAGTTTCCAGATCAAGAACTACCAAACGATGCCGATTCGTATCATTTTGATTATTAGATTGCAATATTATTTTCGGTCCGTTTTGCTATGATCGAACAACTTTCTGAAGAGTAGGTCATTTTATTTTATTGGTATCGAACATTAATAAAAATGTAATTATATGATACTATTAATAATAATATAATTACGATAATAATTTATGATTTGCCTTATGATCCTTTAGAAAATGAATGAAATAAAAATTCATCAACAGAAAAAGTGAATTTTGGTGAAAAAAAGGTTTTTTAATAAAAAATCTGAGCTATACAGAATTGAAAAATTATTTGACCTTGAAATAGAACTTAAAAATGTCCAATGGAATTTGCTTTTAGTTCAAGAGATTTTGCAATAAAAAATCAATAACTAATGAAAATAGTAATAAAAATTAATAATTATTTTTAAAAAAAATATCTTTAATTAAAAATTCGAGTTAATTTATATATACATATTATATAGTTGAATGCGCATCAATCCTTTTTTCTAAGCAGCATCCGTTATCCGGAACTCGTTAATTAAACATTTGCACTCTCTTTCCGGGCTACTTTTCTCAGTTAACGACTTATTGTTTATTTGGAAGATAAGAGGCTATAACGAAATGATTGGCAATACGCACGCAGAGGGGTTCTTTTAAGTCAATAATAACAAAGTCAAAGTCAGTGTTCGAAAGAGTGTATATATATATATACACATGCAGTAAACGAAACAAGAAAAAAAAACTTGTCTGACAAGAGCTCGCACGTTGCGTGTAAAAGCAGCAGCACGGAAAGTGAATAAGGAACGAATGATAAAAAAGAATTGTGTGGAAGACCACTTTTACTGTGTACGTTATATATAGGATATAATTTAGTGTACGCGATGCTCAATGCCAATGCTTGAACGGAAAAATTACTCTTCTCACCGTAATAACATATCCTGACAGATTATAACAAAAAAAAAAAAACCTTAGCGAATATCTTCTAATGAACTCTTCTTTTCTCCTAAAACCTTTTGTTTTATCTCTTTGTACAAAAATTGTAAGTTTCTACCATAAATTAAAATTTTTTTTTGTAAAATCAAACAATTTAATTCCGTCACTTTTTTCATTAAAATACTGTGGAAAAAAATTTATAATCTTGATATTCATGTAAAAATTTATAATTTTCAACACTTCCGGTCAAAAAAGAAAGAAACATGTAATAAAAATGATTTTTGATCATGATAATAATTTTCCTAAAAAAGAGTATGATAAAAAGTGTATTATCGAGATCTAGTGTGATTATGAATCTTTTTATATATATATATATATATATATATATATGGGAGATGGAAAAAATATATCCTTTTTTTAAATATTGTCTTGACGTTTTGGTTTCCATTGGGTAAACTTATATCAATTCTAAAATCTCTGGTTCACTTCTCTTCCCACGTAGTTTCTAACTCGCTTGAGCTCTTTCGTATCTCATTGCAGCTTCAATGGAAACGAGAAGAGTAACAGAGCTCCTTGGCTTCCTTAACGGTAACGTTATTTTTTTTCTCTCTCTCTTTCTTTCTCTTAAGTGAAGACCGGACTTCTTCTCATTCTCTATACATTGCGGGGCCCATTTCAGTTTGGCGGAAAATTCGAATGGTTTTCCAATAACCGTGAAATTTGTTCCTTTCTTATTACTTCCACCTCATCGTATTCTCTAATAGATATATAGTCAAACTTTCACAATATGAAAAATCGATAAAAATTACGCTGTTACTTTGATTTCCTAGTATCACGTTAATGGCTCGCTTATGTTGTGTGCGCCTCCTTTATATTTTTGTAACGTTGCGCTATACATGAAAGCTCATTAATATGGTCAAGGTTTAACACCTTTATTCGAATACTCATTTTTTTTATACTCGAACCGTCATTAAAAAAATAAACACAAATAAAATTTTTTATTGTATAGTTTAATAATTTTTATGATGATTCTTCATTATTGTGTTTTGAAAAAAAAAATTTAACTAAATTGTGTTTGGCTTAATATAAATTAAGAGAAATATGTTAATAAAAATTAAAAAAAAAAGAATAGATAATTATAGGAAATATGATGTTGCATTTTCATAATTATATATTGAACCAAAGTTCATTTATAATAATATATTAAAAATTAGTTGTTAATATATTCGTGGTAATTAAGAGTAATTTGAAAAATTGCTCTTGTATGATTTGACTCAATAAAGGAAGCTATATACTACCGTGTAAAATAAAAGACGACAGATGGCTATGCGCTATCGTGGCAAATTGTTAATTAGCCGTGATATTAACTTGTCGGAAACTTTTTCTTTCTTACCGAGAATTGAACAACGCTATATAGATAAATATTTTCTAAAAAAGTGTAAGGAGACTCATTTTCTTTAATTATTAAAATTTAGTCTATTTTTAGTACATTAATTTTTTTTCATTAAAAAATAGTTTCTCATACTTGAAAAGTGACACTAGATTAACAAATCTAGTTAAGATTTACAATTTTTAAGTCTTGCAAATTTTAAATCTTAAAAAACTGACTTAAATTGAATAAACTAAATTTTAAAAAAACATCCAAGGACATAGATAACTTACAAAAATGGATCGATTTCTGAATGTTAATAAAATTGTTTAACGAACTACAGGTAATAAGGCAAAATATTCTGTAATTGATACCCTCTGCTACTTTGTATGGTGTTTGAGACTCATTTTCACCTTTTAAAAGATAGTATCTTTTTGTAAAATTTGAAAATTTATGAACAAGCTTACAGGAATAGATTGTTTTGTGGAATTTACACTTTAAACAGTTCTTGACAACAGTCAAGATGTAAATAACTTGTCCTTTGTCGAAGTTACACTCTTCAAGTGAACTGATGAAGTGGAACATCAAAATTTCACTTTAAGATCTCTGATGAAGTTGGAAAAATACAGTTTTTGTTTAATAATTATTGGAACAGAAATTTTGGGAGTCGCATCCAACAATGGTAACTTAGGAGGACTAATAAACTACTTGAAAAAAGATTCCAAATTATATCAGGTAATTTAGAATTTATAAAGAATGTACCATCCATACCCTCTAAATTTAAAATAAGTAATTTCACTTATTCAATTTTAGAATTTATGTATTAATAATATCGTCGGTTGGATGCAGAAGCATGTCACTTCAGAGTAGGCTTAAAAATCCAGTCGTTTCAAAAATTATTCAAAAACCCTGTCATTGCAGTTGAGATTTGAAAAAACATTCTAATTTAGAATTGATGTTCTTTTTTTAGGTTTACAATACTGTAAATACTGTAAATATATTTTCAAAACTACTCTGAAGTGACATGTGAACCGACGATATATTAATAAATATAAAACCCCTTTATTGTGGTTATTAATTATTATAATTATATTAGGTAATGTTTATCATCGATGATCACTTAATGAATTCAAGTTTAAGAATAAATCCTCTTATTCAAAAAGTATCGGAGCACTTTCCAACGTTGAGCATTAGTTTATCTAAATTTCAATTTGAATTTATCAAAGTCAATTATTCGTCATCACTACAACGACCTTGGAGAACAACATTATTTATAATTTTTCTCAAT